TTTAGGCGGATGTGCCCTGTAATAAGCTGGGACGGTCGCAGGGAAGAACATCTGGCGAACTCCTTCTGCCTTGATTATGGGGAAGATTATTCCCGAAGCACTCTGCAAAACTCCAAAAAAAAAAAAAATCAGGGCCACCAAAAAGCAATCATGTTCCATTCATTCCACTGAAACTGGGTTCATTGGCTTACGGATATCAATCGTGCTCCTATCCAAACCCGATTGGGCGATGGAAATGGAATCAACAAACGGCCAACACCGTATATTGCAACAGCAAAGAAATGGAGAACCAAGCTTAAAGGGCGGGGGTTCAATCCAGATAGCAAAGAAATTGGTCCTTCGGAGAATACACCTCCGAGACTTAGATAATCAAAGCAAGCTTGGCGCATTTCACTCCTCGCCTTGTCAGGTGATGCACTAAAAACCTTGTATAGGGCTCCCGCCAACGTATTTATCGTGGATGCCACTGGCTGCCATTTCAAAAATTCAAATCATGAGGACGCTTTAATCACCTTTCCTACTTAGGACAATTACATCTGAGCGATATTAAAGGCTGGAATGCTTTTACCTTCCGCAGGGTATAGAAGGACTCCAGGTATTTACAAAGCGTGGATGCATCATTTAGATCGCGCAAAGGCTTGAGAAGATTCCGGAGCACTACTATGTCAGACAGTGCCACAGTCATTCCTCCCCCGGTAAGAGGATGGCGCATGTTGAATGCATCTCCCATCAGAAGGGCTCCAGGAGTAGGATAAGGGGCTGCCGGCATGCTTCTATTTGGCATTGTCCTCAGGTCGCCTTTGTCCACGGCAGATATGAAGGCATCATAAAGCTCAGAGGGGACCTGCAAAAGTTTGCCACCTGATTATGAACTGAGACACCAACAACTGAATTTGAAGAAAAATTCTATTATCAATGGGATAAAGGCAGCTCCACTGGAAAGGTTAAAAAACTGCTAGCTTGTAGAGATACCTGTGGAGCTACCACTGTCTTCAAATACTTGGTCATTTCACCATTTAAAATTGAAGGAACCTTCTGACCAGGTACATCAACCAGACAGCGAATCTCCGTGCTACTTATAGGATAGAACAAAATTGGTGAAGGATCTGCTAGTATAACATGGCCATGGTTTGCATATGGAAGTTCGCAGTTTTCCAATATCAAACCAACAAAACAAGAGGGAACGTCCACCTGGAAAAAGAATACCATATAACTTTTAGTGATTTTGTAATTATTAAACTAAAATTGTTAAACATAGTAGTTCTCCGCAAGCACTGAAAGAATGATAGCGACAGATTAACTTAAAATTTAGATGTCATCAGAGAAAGAAGTTGAAGTGTTGAACAATGCAACCGAGGAAACTTGATCACACATTTGAGGGGAAAGAGCATTCTCACCTTAGGATTACAAAGAGAACGGCGCAAGTTTGAAAAGCACCCATCACAAACAATGGTGAGAGGAGCATAAGCTGAAAATACTTGGCCATCTTTCGTCTTATAATGCACACCTTTAATTGTCCCATTCTCTTCAAGTAGGGAAGTGACTGTTCCTTCCGTCAAATGTACTCTACAGATAATAAGTCGCACATATTAAAAACAACGTGAAATCTGTTGGTTCAAAAGAACAAAAAATGGTATTAGAAAACTACAAACATCGTATCAAAATTGTATTGTAGAGCCCCACAGGCTATCTGTGTATGCTATGAGACATCAAAGAAATCAGTTTGACAGAAGCACAATTTTGAATCAAATTACTTTGTCTGCCCAAATCGACATATGCTCGGAGTTGGCTATAGTGAGGACTGTCAATACGCAAACAAAAACTTTAAGTCATATATGGGTATTATCTACAAGACTGAAATAAATACTTGGGAAGGGAGGCAGCCTTCTCCCTCATCCTCTGAATAAAACGTCCGTTGTGAAAGCTTCTTCCAGAAACATCCGAGTGAAACTTCTCTAATGGATAAGGGAGTCGAGTATTTTTTCCATCCTTGTAAAGAGCATAACCAAACACCTGCTGAGCATCAATTTCCTGAACACAATCTGAGCAAAACACAAGGCATGATCATTTGGTAAGGGGCTTTACTCCGACTCAAGGTATAGCACTTGTTTTCTTATGTATATTTACCAACCACAATTCTGAATACAGAATAAAAATTTTTACAGGTATAATACCTTCAAGCCCGAGCTCAATTAGTTTGAGATAGCCCCCAGGTTGTAGCAACTCCCCAACAATTCGGACAGGCTCACTCAAATCTCTTTCTATAACACGTACCCGGTGTCCATCCTCCAATGCATAATAAATAATCAGTATATTTGAGTTTTAAATTGTGTGTTCTGAATCACACGGGTTAACTACACAAAGAAGAGTAGCTATAAGAAATAAATAGGATTAAAAAAAAGGAAGATGTATGATTGCTAATCCAAGGCAGAGATCAAGTCCCTTGAGTGATCAAATTTGTAGAAAGACCGAGATCAGTTTACAAGATTTACACCCCCCCCCAAAAAAAAAGAGAGAGAGAGAGAAAGGTGATCATCTTTCAAGCCAGAACTTCATGTGCTGGCAGAGTAGTAGACAGTAGTGTTTTAAGGGAAAGGCCGCGAAACCTTGCTATATATGTTATATTAAATATTCAAGCAAATATATGAAACTTGATCAGTAGACCAACTGCGAGATTGTAGATGGCATTAAACCTACAACTTCTAGTCCTTAATAAAAGAGCTAATTTGACTTTTAATTTAATCCTGAATATAAGACCTCAATCTATTTTGTTTCTCATATTTATTCGGACAGGAGGTAATACTTATATTGCCTCAAATAAATGCTTCACCTGAAAACTGTTCAGCTCTTCAAATGATTGTGAAGCGTGTGAAAATATAAGTTCATTCTGCAACTGAAACTAGTTCTTTCTACAAGATTACACGTATTGTCTAAAATTTTAGCGGAAAACAACATGTTCTTTAACTGCTATCGGGAGCGGGGTGGATGACTAACATTTCTCTCGGTTTTGGTTCTTTAGTATGGAAACACATTAGAACATACTGCCTTGATATTAAATATCCGTGCACAGAAACACAAACACCGGAACCCATACCAGGAGGAAATATTAATTTTAGTTCAGTAGGAATCACTTAGTTCACTATATTATCAGAGACTGGCGTAATATCTTTCATTTGGAAAGCCATTTCAACATATTTTCACCGAAAATCAGTTCATCAACTGAGTAGTTCCCTAGTTAAAAATTCTTGAAGTTCACCGAAGGAAAAGGAAAATTATTTCCTAAATCCCTTCTGAATCTGCTGCATGACCATGGGAAAATGAAGAGGAAATTCAGGACAAGAATAAGAATAAGAAATTATTCTTTGTGCATGGTATGGCATAAGTACGAGGGCAGCAACTTCGTGTAGACACTAAAAGTATGCCTTGTTTCCATTTGTTTTATTACCACCCAGTTTTTTCATTATTAAACATCGTCAATGAATCTTTATAACATTGTGAGTTATTCTTCCTCGTTCGAAATCCACAAATTATAAGCATGTCCACTGACGTGAATTACAATAACTTCATTATCAGTAAAGTCAGTTACTAATAAGCCAGTTCGTCCTGTTATGCGAAAAGTCAAGTCGTGAGGAAAAGCAAAAGGATGGTAAATCAAAAATACCTTGCCAAGAGTGTGTGCCAGAGCAGAGCCAGCAACACCAGCTCCGACGATAATGACATCAACATTACCGCTGCTGTCAACGGATCTGCATTCTCCGGCGGCGGTGTTTAAGCTATTCAGGCACTGACGTGAAGCCGCGGAGGAAACAATACGGCTCTTCCTGGCAAAAACCAAATTGTAGACAGCAACCAAGGCGAACAAACCAGAGAAAAAGATCCAACCAACAGTGTAATGATCTGCCATGTCGGAATGCGGATCCGAGACACCTCCCGAAGACGACGAAGGAGGAGGACAGGAAGGGCGGCGGCGAAGACCTTAGCTCTTGCGAATTGCTTCGCTGGCCGCTTTGTAACTTTCTGAAGTTTCGGTGACTCGGCTGAACAGAGCTGGAGAAATTTACGGACGGGGCTGCTTTTTAAGTCTTTATTTATAATGGCTTTGTTTGTCCGTTCGCATCAATGCACACCTCATTCATGCTTTGTCTTGCGTTCATTGCACAAGTGTCTTGTTCTTTCACAGTGCGTTTAGGATAAACCATGGGTTCCAAATCAGGCGCTTGTCCTCGCCGTCTTGGCTGAAATTAGTTGTTGAAATTTTAAATTACCTTTGTTATTTATCTTTTCGTGGTTCAAGATTGATATTGTCATATTGGAGTGAAGCACAGCCTTCAGAGCAAGCATGTGATCCCTTTTATCATTAACAATTAACTTACGAAGCTTGCGTATGAAACGAAGCTGAATAAAAAGCTGGTAAGCATAGCTGCCCACCTCCATCTTTAATCAGGGCCACAATGTGAGAAGCTGTTTTGGAATAATTTTTGCTTTCATAGTGTCGAATCATTTACTCTCACACAAACATTATTATTCTTAACATTATTCTGTGAATACGCTTTTTCTTGACGTTATTCTTAGTAGTTATCTGTATTTTTTCATCTGCAAAAAAAAAAAAAGTGAACACGCTTTTGTTCAAAAAAAGTCTTGTCATTTAATCTAATGATGCTTCAATTTTCTACTCGTAAAATCAATCACTTTACGTTAGCCGAATATATAAAACACCTGTGATGTTACTCGAGCTATACAGGTAGTGATATTTGATTAATTAATAATGGATGGAATTATCTGATCTTTTATTACACCGCGCAAGGTATAACAAGGAGCGCTTTCTTCCTACAGCGTTATTTAATAATTCAGTAATTGTCTTCTTAATCCATTTGTGAGTTTATCTTTCTTTTCTTTTCTTTTTTCACTATTAAATCATTTGTTCTGTGAAGCAATAAATATGAGTTAAATCACAACCCCAATGTCTTAAGTATCAGTAGTGTATCTTCGAAGGCCATAACGCGGAAGCAATCTTATAAATTCCCTTACGTTTTGTTTATTTGTCTATATTTAAAAGACAAGAAATAATTAATATGTAAGTCTTTATAGTTTCAACTGATTTTTAATCAGGTCTCTATAATTTTTTTTCTTTTTATCAGGTCCTTATACTTTTACATATTTTTAATCAGGTCCTTATAATATTTTTTCTTTTTATCAGGTCTTTATTGTTTTACTTTGTTTTTAATTAGGTCCTTATAGTTTTTATTCTTTATTTTATAAATAATAAAATTTTAAAAATAATAAATTATTGTAACAATCTTATGTTAATATTCTTTTAAACTTTTAGTCAAACAAATATATTATTTATTTTCAATTCTAATTTTTATAATTATAAGATTCAAATTACAATAATAAATTTTTCTAAAATTAAAATATAATTATAAATAATTTATATTTAAGTACAATTATTATTCTGATTATTTATTAATTACTAAATGATTATATTAATTATTTTGTCTAATTATGTAATTATTAATTTAAAAATGAAATTAATTTTTAAAAATAAAGTTAATAAATAATTTTTAAAAAAACTACAAAGGACCTAATTAAAAAATAAATGAAACTATAAGGACCTGATAAGAAGAAAAAAATAGAAGGACCTAATTAAAAACACACGAAAGTAAAAGGATCTGATAAAAAGAAAAAAACTTATAAGGACTCAATTAAAAATCAAATGAAATTATAAGGACCCGGAGATTAATTATCCCAAAAAAAAATTCTCATAATATTTTCTTTTAATTATATCGGACTCTGCATATTAAATAAGATTTTACACGATGAAGAAGGCAGATTTTAAGTGGCAACTGGCACGCATGGCACGCATGACACGAGTGCGTGGCGTGCTTTTTCAATTTTTTAAATTAAACGCAACCTCCTGTTTAATTTACACTTCACACAGATTTTCAAATGAAAATGGCGTATCTTTAAGATTATAATTTATAAATATTATATTTTTCCTATTAATTTTACCACCACCACGATTATTGATAACTTAATGCCAAGCACGGCTGCGTGCCTTCCTGCAATACTAATATTTTTTTAATAATTGTGTATATTAATTACAGAAGAAACAGTTATTTAATTATCAAATGCTTTCGTACTTTTCACTAGTTTTTTTTTTTTTACGTTATATTTTTCACTAGTTGAAAAATAGGTATTAGCATCAGAAGCTTCAGTCTTTTTTTTTTTAATACACTTAGAAGCTTCAGCTTTATATGTAAGTTGCTTTTTTTCCCCTAGGCACAAACATCTTTTGTTATAAGTAATTTTATTCGAAGTATTATTGGGTATTAAAAGTGGACAATCTCTTAATGAAAATGAAAACCTTAATTCATCAAATCGCTTTCATCAAACTCAATCTATATATGTAATTTATTTACGAAAGAAACATAAGCATCAAGTTTGTTGGCCCAGAAAAACAAAATTGAAATGGAAATAAGGCTCTCTGTCCAAGCCTATAAAATAGTTATATATCATAGCGAAATAACCTGCAATGATGAAAAAGTAGTCATTATTTTAATTTTCTTAAATAAGCTGGATCATCCGGTTCAACTGAATTAAATGCTCATAATAGAGTCAACTCAAAATGAAGAAGCTAGCATTTTCTTTTCTTTTCTTTTTTTAAGGACTAACTTCTTTCTTACATCCAGGAAATATATTTTGTTGACATGATTAAAAATTAAAAATTGATCACCTCCAAGGCAGATAAATTAAAAAAAAATGATATGGGTCATTATTATTTAATTCTAATTAATAGGGAGATGCATGGTCCCCACACCGGCCACATGCAGTGATAGCAAGCTGTCAAGAGAGGACAAATGTGGTCAACCAAATACTTCTCCACTTTAAAATATATGATAAATTCGATCTATTTATATGTATCAGAAAATTAGTTAAAATTAGTTTAAAACAATAAATATATAAAGTATGTATTTTTTTAAATATACTCTTATTAATAAAAAAAATAAGTAAAAGATATAATAAATGAATAAAAAGGAAAGAAAATATATAGGTAAAATTGAAACAAACTCATTAGACAAAAAAAAAATTATCTTATAAAAAAATCAAATCTTAGAATAAAATTTAGCTTATATTTTGAATTGGATGGAGTAAATACTTCCTCGTCGTCTCCCCCTCCGGAAGATTTTTTTTTTTTTAAGGTTGGAGGAAGAGGGTTCCACTATTGACTGGAGTCAGAATTAATTGGGGGCCATATTTGCCTCCAAAGAATTCCAAAAGTTTAAATCATTATTCGTAGATTAATACAATTTTTAATTATTTAAGTTTAGTTGTTCAAATTTTAAATTTAAAAGAACAAAAATTATATTGACCGTTATTCATGACTTGTCTATATTATTTCCCAATCAATTCGTACGGTTTTACATCCCTTGTCCTTTATATTGGAGCCTGGCGACTTCTTTCCCTTCATCGGATATTTTTATATTTCCGACAAACTAATTAATTTCAAAACATTCCATCTGAAAGATACTTATACATATACTCCTCCGGTCCTTATTATAAGACCCAATTTGACTTTTTATTTGGTCCTAATTATAAGACCCCAATCCATTTTGTCTCTTATATTTATGCATTTTTTTCCAAAATAATCCTTCTAATAATTATAGTTTGACCCAATATACTTAATTAGCAAGGATATTTTAGGAATGACAACACTTATTTATTATAAATAACCAACTTAACTTACTTCCTTAATCTCCTCAAATAAGTCAATTGGGTCTTATAATTAGGACCGGAGGAGTACATACATATATATACACACACACGCATATCTGTGGGGCTAGTTTTGAAAATAGTTATATACTGTATATTATTTTCATATTCTATATAATGTTAAAAAAGGCTCGGCACATACAACAAAAATCTTAGCAAGTTGCATTACTCCAGATTCTATGACACATGAAAGGAAAATTTGTGGTTGCTGTATAAACTAATGCTACCTTTAATTTTTAAGAGGTAAAAAATTTATTAAGTTGGTTATTTGTAATAAATATATATATTAAGTTTTCTAAACTATCATCTTTACATGTGTATTATAATTATCACTTGGTGAAAGTCCTTTATAGTCAATAGTGATATTTTAGAAAAACAAATTACAAAATTAGAAGACAAAATAAATTTATTAGGATCTTATATTTAGAATTAGATTTAATTCCTAAATAGCTCTTGTATTAAACAACAAACTTGACATATAAATATGAGATGGAATGACATATGGGTGGCTTTGTTGGTGGCGATGATACCAACGGACTCAATCAACGCATGAGGAGCAGAACCATATTTGGGACAATTCAACACTAAAATCCACCCAGCCAGTTGGGTGATAAAGTCAGAGCAACAGACGATATACTCATCCGATTTTTAATCTATTTAAATCAATTAACTAATTTTTAGACTAACTTCATTTCTTATTATAAGAACTTATTTGACTTTTAATTTGGTCCTAAATATAAGATCCCAATCTATTTTATTTTTCATATTTATTTATTTTTTTCAAAATAATCATTTTAGTAGTTACACATATAAAATGTTTTATCAAATGGTAATTTTAGTTAAGATATATGATTGGCAAAGGTATTTTAAGAAAGACAAAATCTATTTATAACAAATAACTAATTTAATTAATTTTCTTAATCTCTTCAAAATAGTTAACTATATTTTATATTAAAAACCAGATAGTATTAGTTATAACTCAGGATCTGAATTATTGCAATAATCATGGTGACAGTGAAAGGAGGGGCTAAGGAAAGGTTGTGAGTTGTCGGGGGTTTGAGAGAGTCGTGACGTTTCACGAATGAGCTGCTTTCACAACGGCGAGGATGAGGTCCCCTTCTTCCCATCCGTATTATGGAATTTATTTTTATATCATATGCAATATTTTTACTTGGACCGCCATGTACTCACGAGTCATGACCCTCTCTCAAGAAAATCTTTTTTTTTTTAAGTAGACAATCGAGAGAATCATTTTTTTTTTATTTGCATATACTTCACGATCGTCACGTTTAATGTGAATAAAACATCACGCATCACAAGTATAACCCCAAGCTAATCCCATCCAAGAATTGATAAAACAACTACTTGTTAAATAGCAGCTAGAGACAGTTAGTTTTAAGTTTAGGGTTTTGGTGGTTAAAGCCTCCAGAAAGGGAAAGAAAACACTGAGGCAACAAAAAGCTGGACAAAAGCACAGCATTAATGGGCCCGGACCTTAGATGTTAGCAGGCTCCGTTCAGACGCCCATGTTGCGCTGTCTGGTCCGTCCAAGTCTAGGCTCGTGACCAGGCCCACTAGCCTGCATTTATGGGTTGCTTTCATAAAGAATCCAAACACACGCGACCCATCTTGATCACGACTGAACAAAAAGTTTTAGGTGCCCACCTGCCCGTCGTAGCGTTTGTTGCTATCCTTTTCCATCCGGACTTGGATTCTCTTCACTACCTTTCTATCGTCTTCCCCTCCATCATCTTTCTTTTCTCTTCATAATCATTGGATCAAAATTCTAATAGTCCAGATTTAACATCTTATAAGAATAATGTTATTAAAAAATAAATAAATAAATTTAAACTGTTAAAATCTGGTCTGAACAGTTTACAATTGTAATAAAAAAATTAAAAAAATTTGCTCCATAATAACAGTCTGTAGTTATGAACTGTTCAGATTAGATTTTAACAGTTTAAATTTATTTATCTATTTTTTATCATAATATTTATTTTTATAAAATGTTATAAAATATTAAATCTAGACTATTGGAGTTTTAATCCAATAATTGTGAAGAGAAAAGGAGGATGGTGGAGGGGAAGAGGATGGGAAGGGTAATGGAGAGAATCCAATTCCTTTCCATTCCCCTGCTTTTGGTATATTTTTCTTTCTTTAATGCCTTCATGTTTTGGAAAGCGAAAAATAGAAAATCAGAGGACGTGCGGGAACCCCATTCCCATTCGTTAGCATATCACC